CAACAGGGTTTTAGGGAAGAATGAAATTAGTTAATACGTAAGTGCTTAAATCAGTTCCTGGCAGGCAGTAAGCATTCAGCACATGTGAATTATTATTTCCAGTTTGTCTGCTCTTCAGACAATGCCCAGAATGCTTCCTTGCCTTTTACCTACTGTTTCCTATCCTCCCCCTTCTTACAGCTACTTCCTATCTACTCTCTTCTTTCTCCGCCCAAGGTCCCAGTGATGTTCAATGGTAGTTCTCTTTAAGACATTCAGTATCATGCATATTAGAGCTCTAAGCTTTCCTTTTCAGGGTTCTCTGATGATCAGATGGAAAAGTATGGAAGAGAGGAGGAGATGAGCATTATGACCCTTCAGCAATGCTGCAGGGCTTGAAGATGGAATCACATACTCTACGCTCCATATAGGTTGTTACACAACGTTATAAGTTGGAACCAACTCATAGCTGACCCTCCAGAGGGTTTTCAGAGACTGTAAATTGCGTGGGAGGAGATTGACCATCTTTCTCCCAAAGAGCTGCTGGTGGATTTGAACCTCTTGCCTTTGTGTTGTCAGTGCGATCCTTTATCCCCAAGCTACCAGAGAACTCCTTTGCAAGTAGTGCCTGGGAAATGCAAGCAGTTAACACACTTGACTGAGAGCCTACATTTTTGGAGGTTCATGTTCATCCAGAGGCATGTCAGAATAAAGACGTGGTGATCCGCTTCTAACAAACATCAGCCACTGAAAACCTTACGGAGCACAGCTGTACTCTAACCTTCATTGAGTTGCCATGAGTGGAGGCAGCTCAATGACAACACTTCTTGTTCTCTGTAAATCCAGAATGATCATCTTTTATTTTTTTCTTTTAGGGCCGGAGCAAGCAACAGTCAGCAGAAAGTCAGGAATGTGTGAGTTTTCCAGGAAGTTAAATCGAAGAGAAACAGGATTGATAGACCTAGAGAATCAGAAGTCTGGAAAGGAAGAAGGGGCTTAGAAGTATGAAGGAAGCCAGCGGCTCCTAGAAAGTAAACCACCAGCTTCCTCAACCTTGCTCCTCAGTTCATGGCACACTGATGGACAAGCTGACCCTGCAGTGCCCTTCTGCACCTCCCTGGACCACTGATTGGTTCTAGAAGGCCCTTTCCCCTGTGTCTCTTGTTTTGACATTGGAGGTGTTAGATGAAAGGAGTCAGGGTCTGCTGAGATCTCTTCTGCCCCTTGTCCTTTTGAGTGACTCTGAGTAGGGGCTCTCACCTCTTTGAGGGAACCATGTCATTCGAATACTCAGTTTCTCTCGGGAAGCACTTGGGGGAGAAGAAGGGGAGATAATTTTGAGAAATTAATTCATAGGGATGCAGTTTTGGAATTCCTGATACAACAGAATGAAAGCACAACAGACACTTAAATAGGATACAATTCAGCATCACACAGATCCTATTCCGTTGTGCCTTGAGTGAAAGCAAACTGTCCCATTAAGAATAGGTATGGTGAGCATAATCCAATCAAGCTAGCTGAAAATGTGAATACTGGTTCGATCTTCCAGCCCTTGGTCAGGAAAAGATAAACAGCAGGTGGTGCCTTTCCAGAACTGTGGTGCCTGAGTTACACTCACAGGTCAGGGACACCCATGCCTCGGGTTGCCTTGGCTCATGGGCGTTGGCAAAGGCTCCACGATGATCCTCAGAGTGTTCCGGGCATGCTCCCAGGCCCACAGCTGTGTCGGCATTTCCAGTGGGGATGATGTTTAATGCCTTTTCTCAGCCTTCTCCTCAGTTCTCTCGCTGAGGAACTAACTCAAGGGGTAGGATGTGGCAGGTACCACTGGAGGCTGCAAGATGAATCTTGAACTTGCACAACTTCTAGAATAATGATTGTCTTCGAAGTTGAGAACATGCACAGCAGTGGCATCCCCATGCGCTGTCTTCCCACAGGTGTGCCTAGCCTGCAAGCTCTCCTGGGGCTTAAATGAACAGACATGAGGAGCAGAGGGGGCCCTGGGAGGATTGCAGGGGGCCCAGGCAGGAGTGCAGGGGGCTCAGGGAGCTGACAGAGCTTGTTTGATCCCATTGAAGGAAATGTGGAGCAATGTGAGAGGTCTTTTCAAGGCTGATCTTGCATCTGCATGAAGGTATGAAGAAAGGGAAGTGATCTAGATAAGAGTCCTTGTCACTACAGCCACTGAAAGTATAATTAATGACAAGTACTCGCAACACCTCCATGATTAGACCTGACTTTCCTCTGTGCAGGGAATCCATGGGCAAGAAGGCAGTCCTACAGGTATGAGACTGGATGGAGGACCACCCAGGACCATCCCAGGTGAGCCTCGGTGGTTCTAGACTGCATAGATCCTGAGGAGCTCTCTAGCTCCTTGGAAGGATGAGGTCCGAGGCGTCTCCTATGATTCAGGGACCCACCTCAAGGCCTGCCACCTAGGATTTCTCTCAATGCTGAGGGAACAGAGTTGGGTTCTGACTCTGTGAATAAAACCCTTCTGAAGGGCAGAGAGAAGGATTCTCATGGCAACCTGTGCCATAGACCAAATGACTGAGGAATCAAGAGGGGTCAACTCAACCTCCCACGCCCACTCTTCCCACCTCTCTTCTGAGTTCTCTCCACAGGACCTCAGGCCTGGTCCACAGCATCACAGCTAGCTTTCTCATAGGGATGCTTTCTGGTCATCCAGTTAAGGGACTCTTGCTTGCTACCAGAAGTCACAAGTGTGGGGTACATTTACCTCACAGGTGCTGTCTGTTTGGCAAGACAGAAGAGGTCCTGAGGCCCTCTGGGAACCCACTTTTAGTGTCTACCACAGACCTTAAGAGGCCCAGGATGCCCCCAGGAAGAAGCCACATATAAGGCTCTTGGACAAGCAAGCCAAAAGTGTGTGACACAGAACAATTGGGAGGTTAAGGAGGTGTCTGTGCAGGTCCTACTTTTAGCACACATTCTCGTTCTCTGAAGAAGCTTTGATGACACAGAAAACAGATCACTTGACTGCCTATTTAGAGGTTGGCAGTTCAAACCCACCAGTTGTTCCACAGGAGAAGAGATGGGCAGAAGTACTCTGTCTTGTAGGTCACTGGACTCAAGTGGACCCAAAGGCAAGGAGGGGGTTTTCCTCTTTTCCCTGAGCTTTCGCATATGCCATTCCTGCTGCCTGCATTTGCTTTTCCTCTCCCTTCCTTGCTCACTCCTGTCTTTCTTTTAAAGAGCTCAAGAAGCTTCGCTGCAATCCTGAAGGTGCGTAGTTCAAATCCACCAGCTGCTCAGCAAGAGAAGGATAAGCTGTTTCTCTTGTGCAATTAACTGCTTCTGAAAACCCACTAGAAGGTCAACTATGGGTCAGTTCCTACTTGAAGGCACACAACAACAACAACAATAACAACAACATTATATAGTGAATTATGCTGTTAATCCAAAAGCTGAATTTATCAAGCAGTTCAAATGCAACAGCAGTTCCTAAGGAGAAAGATGGATAATCTCCTTCATGCAAATTACAGCCTCAGAAACCTAACGGAGAGGCAGCCATGTATCAGAACCAGATCGATGGTAATGAGCAAGGCCTACTTTTGTTCTCAGCATGGACAACACGGCCTCCCAGAAGCTCTCCTTCTCCCAAGCCGGATGTAGATGCCTCCTCTGTGTTTCCACCACCACCCACAATTCCCATCAGGAACGCATAGCATACTCTAATTGCTATACATGATCTGCTATTATTTTCAATTTGGAAAGTAATGGAAGAGCAGAGATCACTTCTCCCTTGCTCTTTGCCCAGGACCTGGCCTGGAGCAGAACACTCAGTAAGTATATGCTCTTGTTTGGCGGATGGGGCCCAGGAAAACAGAGTTGGGATGTTCTAAAGTGAATTTTATCTCTAGAAACCAACAGACTATTCACATGGGGAATTTGATTGTCTTCATTTTGCTTCTTAACCAAGATGAGGAAGAGAAGATTGTCGGATAATTCCCCTGCAGCTCTGTTGTGGTTGTTGTTGTTGTGTACCATCGACACTGAACTGATCCAGAGCTGACCCTCCAGCAGGTTTTCAGAGGCATTTAATTGCACAGGCGAGATTGCCCATCCTTCTCCTGTGGTGCAGCTGGTGGCTTTGAACTGTGTGCCTTCTGGATTTCAGTGTAACTTCCTGCCATAAGGGCCAGCAGAGCTCATTTAGATCTTGTTATTCTAGCACTGGTGCGCAGAAACGTGGTTGGAGGAAGAGGAAGTTAAGACAACATGCATTGTTCTTGGCTGATTGTCAAGTTCACAGGGAAGAAGAGCAAATGGGAAGGGGTTAGGAGGTCAAGGGAGACCTGGGACACCCCTCACCTACCCCCTCCTCCAGTGTCAGTACTATATAATCAGGAACCAAACCTCCTCGACTCGGAGTCATATGTAGGGGGGTGGGGCCCAAAGTTCCCCCCTTCATCCCCTTCATGGTTCAGTCATTGGAATGTTTGACACTTGTGATTTGTCTGGTCTCTTGAAATCCAAATTGTGTCTCACTCTTTCCAGGCATGGAGCTGTCAAGCCCAGTGAGTTCAAACTCAGTGTTATCTCCTCTCTTCTCTAGAAGTCTTCTTCCGGTCAGTTCTGGTTCTAGAAGGATAGGCTGTGGAATCCAATTGTCCCACTTAGGCACTCAGATATGTAAACACAAGGTTCTTCTTGAGGCAAAATCCTCCATTAAGGAATTTCCCAGCATGCATAGCACTTGGCAGAGAAGAGAGATGAATGATGCTGAATGCATGAGCAGGGACGAGAGCAATGGAAATGATAGCCACTTCCAGGATCTACCAGAAGTGTCAATGAGGACAGAGAGGCCACGTGTGACAGACCTAGCACGTCCCTGGATTGCATGGAGTGGAAGGCCTGAGCTCCCCCTTCCTCAGGGCCTGTGACAGAGTCTGTTTAGTTGAACTTTATGGCAAACTGGAGATGTCAGATGTTGGCCATCAGAGCTTCTCTCCTGGTCAAGGTAATCAAAGGGGCTGGCCTCAAGAACGAGGCCCTCATCAGCGATTCAGGAAAAATGACTTGATGTTCTGGAAGAAAGCAGACTTCTGCCTCTGCTTCTGTTTCTTTTTGATGATGGGCACCCACACGAGCCCACACACCATCATCATGAGTCCCAGTGACAGGAAGGCAGGCCCTGTCATCTTGAGGGCAGACATGCTCTTGTCCCCAAAGTGCAGAGTGTAGGCCAAGCAGGTGATCACCACACCAAAAAGCAGGATGGCGCCGCCCACAGACATGATGACTATGGGCTTGCGGTAGATTTCCCAATTGCTCCTGGGGGTGGTGGTCCAGACAGACTCACTCCTGGAGCTTATGCACAGAGAGCTGGCTGTCTGGCTGGGCAGAAGGTCCTTGGATTCTGGGGACCTTTCATCTACCTCCAGGACCGTGGGGATCGCCTCCATCGTCACAGCTCCTCAGGAGTGGGCACCTAGAACTGACAACAGTGAGACATAATGGAGAAGTTAGACATACACCCCACACACCCTTCTTGTACTCAGCACCCCTTCTATGAGGAAGGGCAATGCCTAGGTGCTGGTCAAAGATGAAGGGGAAATGACATGAGAGCCACAGAAGTAAGAAAACAGTCGTGCTGGTATGAGCTTCCCTTGCAAAAGACAAATGTGTCACTCCAAGCAATGGCTTTTAATATTTTAAATAGGAAACAGAGTTTCAATTTTAAAAAATAAACCAAGACAACTTTCTTCATATGCATTGAAAACGACTGAAAATACCATGGCTTGGGTCAGGCAAACCTTAGTCTGTAGTAACATAGTTGTTCTTTGACACTTTACAGAGGTCTTTGACGTCAGCTTTGTTCAATGAATTAGGTCTTTTGATTTCTTGATGGCTATTTCTCTTAGTGCTAATTGTGTCTCCAGTTAAAATGAAATAATTGACTACTCCAGTTAAAATGAAATCATTGAAGGCTCCAGGAATCAATGGGACACCAGTTGACATGCATTGACTAACAGTAGCAGCCGTGGACCTGTTTATTGGTCTGTGTCAGAGAATTTGGAGGACAGGGATCTGATCAACTGATTGAAAGAGATAGGTATTTGTTTCCATTCCTAAGAAAGGTGATCCAACACAATGTGGAAATTAAGAAAGGTGTCTGTGTGTCAGAGTTCTGTATGCTGAGAAAATTATTCAAGAATCTGGACCCTGTGAAGAAGAATGTGGCATCAGGGTCAGAGGAAGACTTACCAATAATCTACATTATGAAGATGACCCAATCTAGGTAGCTGAAAATGAGGAGGATTGAAGTGCTTACTCCAGAAGCTTAAAGACTACAGCCTTTAACATGGATTACATTCAGTGTCAAGAAATCAATTCTCACTACTGGACCAATAGGCAACATCAATGATAGATGGACAAAAGAGTGAAATTTTCAATGACTTCAACTTACTTGGACCCACAATCAACACACTTAGTAAGAGCAGTCCGGAAATCAGAAGATAGATTGCTCTGGGAAAATCTACAGTCATGGATCTCTCCAAATTATTGAGGAGCAATGACATTCGTTTGAAGACTGTGTATGTGTGTGTGTGAGACAGAGACACAGTCTTTTTCTCCTCCTTCTTCTCCCCTCCTCCCTTTACCCTCCCCTCCCTCCTCTTCCTCCTTCTTCTCTCTCTCTGTCTCTCTCTCGCTCGCTTTCGCTCTCTCACTTTCTCTCTGTGTGAGGCAGAGTTAGATTTACTCATCACTGTTCTTGTAAGCCATAACTTACTTGCAGTGGCTGTGTACAATGGAAAAATTCAAGTCTTTTGTGCCAGTGACCCTATAAAATGTGGGATTTAGGACAGGTTTAACACTAATCCCATATGCAAAACAAGTACCTCCCTGATAAAGTTGTGGCTATCATATTTCATCTTGTCTAAAGGAGCTCTGGTGGCCTCATGCATATGGAGTTGTGGCACCTCACTGACAGTTTGGATCCACCACGGCTCCATGGGAAAAAGATGGGCAGTCTCTTCTCATGTGATTGACAGCCTCAGAAACTCGCTGGAGGGCCAGCTCTTCGTCAGGCCCTACTCTGTGGCAATAAGAGTGAGTAAGTGAGTGAGTGAAGTTAACTCTGATGGCATAGCTCATTACATGCTGTGGTGCTAATTGAAAGGTCAGTGGTTCGAGTCCACCAGGTACTCCAAGGAGGGATGATGGAGTCTCCTTCCTCAAATACTTTGGACCTTCAGAAACTTGATAGAAGGTCACTGTGGGTGAAAACCAACCTGCTGGCTGTGCGTTTTGGTTTCAACATTTTATAGTTGTTCAAGAAACAGCCCATTTGCTGTCATCATGATTTTCTAAGCCCTTATTTTCTCATCTGTAGAATGAAGAAGGTGGGCTAAGGGACTTGTAAAACTATTTTAGACAGGGTTTGTAGTGTATCAGGCTGCCATCTGAAAGGTCAGTAGTTCAAACCCACCAGGCTCTCCATGGGAGAAAGATGGGCGGTCTTTTCTAGTAAAGATTTATACCATGAGGCATGGTTCTATCCTGACACATATGGAGCTGCCATGAGCTGAGAAAGACTAGCTGGCAAGTGGAAGGTTTCTATGAGTCAAAACAGATTCGATGGCAGTAGATGTGTGGTGGATGTTTTTTTAATGCTGTGTTATGTACTTTTGAGTTGGAACTGTCCCATAGATGACCCTCCAGTGGGTTTTTAGAGGCAATTAATTGCACATGAGGAGACTGCCCATCTTTCTTCTGAGGAACAGCTGGTAGATGAGAACTGCCTCCCTCTGGGTTGGCAGTGCAGCTCCTTAACATGAGACAAAAGTCTTTGGATCTGAGAACTGTTTACAAGGGATATATGATTAGGTATTATTGTCACGTCAGGAGTCCAGAATGAAGGCTGCACAGTACAGAGGATTTGGCAGGAGGGATTGCACAGCAGTGAAAGAGTTTTTCTTTTACTCATCAAGGAGAAAAGTGAATTGAGGGAGAAGGGGTGGGCAGGGAGAAAAGCTAAACAATGAATGACTAGAAACCCTAAGTCTCTGCAAACTTTCATTGTTGTTGTTGTTGTTGTTATGTGCCGTCGTTTGCGACTCATAGCCACCCTATGTACAACAGCCCTAAACCCTGCTCTATCCTGTGTCAATCGCATTTCCTCTGACACACCCATCTCGATTACCCCAGTTACTGAATCAATCCACCTCAAAGAGGGTCTTCCCCTCCTGCGCTGTCCCTCCACCCTACCAACCATGATGTCCCTCTCCAAAGACCTGACCCTCCTTACAACATGTCCAAAGTATGTTAGACAAAACCTCAGAGTCTTTGCCTCCAAGGAGCTGCCTGGATTAACCCTCTCCAGGATGAATCTGTTAGTTTTCTTGGCAGTCCATGGTACATTCAATACTCTTCTCCAGCACCACAGCTCAAAGGCATCAACTCTCCTTCTATCCTCCCTAGTCATTGTCCAACTCTCTGATGCATAACAAGTGATTGCAAAGACCATGGCCTGTATCAGGCGCACCTTAGTCTCCAGAGAAACACCATTGCTCCTGAGTACTTTAGAGAGGTCCCTAACAGCAGACTTTCCCATCACAATACGTTTTTTGATTTCCTGGCTGCTGGTGCCAACAGTGTTTACTGTGGAGCCGAGCAAACTGAAGCTATGAACAATCTCAATCTCTTCGCCATCCATCCTGATGCTACTGATTGGTCCAGTGGTGAGAATCTTTGTCTTCTTGACATTGAGTCTCAGTCCATACTGAAGGCTGCAGTCCTAGACCCTCTGCAGTAAGTGCATGAGGTCCTCTTCAGTTTCAGCAAGCAGGGTTGTGTCATCTTTAATTTTCATTAAAATTAATAATAATAAAAAAAATCTCTGGATTTGCAATAGGTTGCTAACCTGAGGTTGATAATCTGAACCCACATCAAAGCAATGTGGAAGAAAGGCCTGGTGATCTACCTGGGAAAAGATACCACCAAGAAAACTCTGTAGGGTGCAATTCTACTCTGAGCTACTTGAGAGCGCTGGGAATCAGAATGTGTGTCAGGGCAGCGTACTATGGGCGGGTAGTGATTCGTTGTAGGCAACAACACAGGTAGCGAATCAAACTCGAGTTCTCAGAATTAGATTTCCAAAAAGGCACCAGGACAGAACTGGGTGTGTTTTATCAGAGTCTCTGATTGGTTCAAATGGTTAACATGCTCAGTTGCTAATTGAAAGGTTACAGAACTGAAAGTGTCTTTGAAGAAGTGCTACTTCCCCCCTCCTTTAATTTTTATTTTAAATTTATTTGCTTACAAAGTTTGTATACATTGTGTTTCACACTATTCTTCATTCATGTAGTTTTCATAAAATCGATTGTAATTAATATTATCAAACGAAATGTCTATGAATAATTGGTTGAAAACTCAATATTATTTATAAACTTTCACTCAAATACAAATGAAAAACTTAAAACATTGACTCTGAAATAACAACAAAAACAATGAAATCCTGTGAGGCACAGTTCTATCCTGACACATATGGAGCTGAGACAGACTAGCTGGCAGCTGGTCGCAGAGGACGAGTTTTATCACATTTTATTAAAGCCCCTCTTAGAGTCTTTCCTGTTTTTCTCAGATGCCATGATTTCTTTTAGGGGCACAGTGGACATGGTGCATTGAATAACTGAGAGGGAACCGCCCTATGCATTGTAGGGCGTGTAGAGTTTAACCCACTAGATAACCACAGCTCTTCTCCACAAGACGTGACAATCACAAATGAACCCAGACATTGTCAAACATCCCCTGAAAAGAAGCCCTGCCCTCTGGTTTGGAACCTCTGCCTTTCACCTGGGGTTGCGCAGTCTCTTTCTAAATAGAGCATGTGTGTTGTCAGCACACTTAGCACGATAGGGCTCTGAGGCTGCAGGTTTGCTCAGAGATCAATGGCCACTCTGGGAGGTGATGCGTGAAAGACCCATTCTCTTGGTGGGCTCATGTGTTTCAGGGGATACCTCACTCATCTTGCTTCAAAGTCCCTGACAACCAGTTCTGGTGAAGGACTGAGGCTGGGGAGCCAATGGAAGCTTCTAAAGGTACCGCCCTCTTAAGCTACCCACAGATTTGGATGTCAGCTCAGACTTCAGGGCAGCTATTTGAAAATGGCAACTGGGTTCAATTGCCCTTCTCTAAGGTGAGGTGTGAGTGTCTGGAGTTGGGTTAGTGAGTAGAGACTTCTAGGCAGCCGGAGACTAGGGTGAGCATCCTGCAGGCTGGAGACATGAAAAGAACCCTTATCTGGGACCATGCAGCAAGGAGCTTGGAAGAATAAAAACTACACACTGACTTGGATGGATCACACTGCTGGATGTCAACCAGTAGGAGCCAGACCCTGGGTACATGCTGCCTGAATCTATTTACATATCATGCAAAACCATGCCAAAGGGATCCGTAGCTCTGGGGAGC